GAAACCCAGGCCAAAAAGGACAGAAACACCTCCTTTACAAAGAACTCCTCCAGCCTAATGGTCCATGGATGACCACATTACAAAAACTTGACTATATAGGACCATTACCAACAGGAAAAAATTGGTTTCAAATATGCTCTCATATTGTTGATGTTTTCACAAAATGGGTTGAGATTTTACCCCTGTACGCACAGACGAGACGCACTAACAACTGCAAGAAATGTTAATTAATCATGTTTTTTTTCCAACTTTGGGGGATCCCAATTGACATCAGTTTAGATCGTGGACACTCATTTCACAGGTAAAGTAATGCAGGCAATGTGTAAAATTTTGGGAATCCAGCAAAGATTTTCATGTCCATACCATCCGCAATCTGCAGGTATTGTGGAAAGAATGAACAGGACTATCAAATCCGAATTGCTAAAATGTTGTTAGACAAAGGACATACATGGGTAGATGCCGTGCCTTTTGTTCTGATGAGTATCAGAAGTACAACATCTTCATCTAACCACAATACAGTCCATTTGAACTGATGACAGGTAGAAAAATGCCCGCTTTGTTTTTCTACATGAACCGTGTTTTTGTCAACTCCGCAGAAAGAAGCAATTGAGAAAACCAAATGTTTACAGATGTTGCAAGACAATCTAAATGCCATTTTTGCCACATGCAGCTATCACATGTCAGAAAATGATCCCCTCCACACTCCTCCAAAATTTGAGAAAGGTGGACAAGTCATGATTAAAACATTTAGAGTAAAAGTGGGCCGTGGCAAAGTAAGTTGGGAAGGTCCTTTTGAAATTTTGGGACACACGTGGGTGTAATGATACAAGTCCAAAGACCTCTCAATTCTGTTAAAAATGCACGGAGACAACAAAAAAATATGGGTTCACACTGATCAATGCAAGCTGTTTTATGCCAAGATAATGATACTGCATTTCTTTTGCAGAAATGACATCTGATAATCAATATATGGAGGAACATCAAACTCCAAAAGAAATACTGACAACATCAGAAAAGTGGAAAGAAAGAAAGAACATTAAAAGGAGAAAATTCGTCATCACAGGACTCCTTTTTTTGCATTAATGACATTTTTATTCCTAAAAACTTATATGACTTTTTCCAGCCCAGCAGAGAAGAACAAGTCTGAGACCCTGCATAAAAGTGAATTGCCTTTATCCAGAAACAAGAAGACATTTTCCAAGATACAGTGACATTGACACAGCCGTAGTAGACTTGTATGGACTTGCTGTGTATAGGTCATGGAGCTACTTGTTGTATGCAATTTTTATTTTCTTCATAGTAAACTATATTGAAATACAAGCTAGAATAGAATCTAAAACAAAGTTTACAAAAATGCAAGGATCATATGTACATAATAATAAAACTGGGTACATATGAATTGTAATTTTTAACTGAGATGGGGTTTCTGGTCCATAGTTTTAAAAGGAAAATGAGTCTACAATTTGGACTGGCGATGTAACTGGAGGATAGAGTAGGTTCTTCTTCTGTAGGGGATTCCAAAACAGATATTTGGTTTTTGACCCAATATTATTTACCAGTTTATGGATCCTGAACACTTAAAGATTACAGGAGATGAAGAAGGAGATGTAATTAGAGTATGGGTTTTCAAATAACAAGAGGTTCAGCTGCACGTTTTAAAGTGATGAGTGACTATTTCAATTGTAGACTTGATTATTCCAGATATAAAAAGTATCTCCTCAAGCTGTTAAAATTATTGAAGGAAAGGATGATTTAAATTTGATATGTACTACACAAATATATTTTACCTACAAAATTCCCTATTAACTTGGAAAAAAGAAATGGTGAATTTTTGGCAGTCTTTTCCATAGCTCTACTAATATAATTCGTAAGAGTAATCATTGGGTAATGTAGATTGGACTAATAATAATACTTTATTTTTATCAACACAGTAGTCCAATTCTTAATGACAGAGGCATATATGAATGTTGCATATCATTAGAAAATAATCCAATGAATTGTGATACTGCAAATGTTTATAATTTCATCTCCTAAGAACATTAAGTTGTACTGATGAAAAATTTATTCCTTCTTAGGTCCATTTCAAATTAATCATTTCCACCAGACATCTCTTAATGAGAAGGAACATTTTGTGATTATACTTTGGAAATTTAATGTTTCTGAATGGAAAATTTCATCAAAGTATCCTCAATGTCAAGAGAATACTTAATTAATATGGAATTGGGTATGGATAAAATGGTTTGGAGCTAATAATAAAATTAAATAACAACCCCCCAAAATAAAAAACAGGAATAAACGAGGTATCATAGAAGGAATTTTAGGTGGAGTTGGTACTATTGGAAGTATTTTTACCAAATAGTATGGATATTATTACATTACAGTCTGATCTGGAAGGACTGCTGGGCTTAGTGGGTAGTAAAAGTATTAAAGTTCAAAGAAATGTAAATCAAATATTAGAAAATATGTTAATGAAGACAAGCTACGGTTATAGGCCCAGCTGTAGTCCACTTACAAGAGGATACTTTGAATTTAATGGTACAGAGAACAACATTCCCACATAGCCAGAACCATGTCTAGAAATACAGACAGAGTATTCTACCAATTTTTAAATAATTGCACAAGCATTCCAAAGTGGAATAACTCCTCTAAGTCTTTTGCAAAGTTTACCTATATGAATATGTATTTGCAAAAAATCATACAGGATTTATGGGTAAATAAATGGGTAGGATGTAATTCAACATGAATGCTTTGGTACCTCAATGATTCCCATTGCTGGGAAAGAACAAAATGTTTAGTTCCAGTTACAGTCTTAGGATTGCCTGAGTTAGTAATACTCTCGTTGTTATATTATTATCAATTTCAGTTTGGTAGATTTTGCTTTGGATACTAATGCATCTGAACCATGAACAACTAGATTTATCTTCTTGTTTACATTTTCAATCAAAAGTAATATGTTTGCCTAATCAGGACAAAAGTATTTTTCACTCTTGTTTTCATAATCATTCATTATGTACAGCAAGAATAGAAAAAGTTAAAACATTCACTTGACCTAGTCACTGTTTGTAGTAGGAAGAGGAAAGTCTGTTTTCAAGTATGACAGACACTGAAACAGTGAAAGCTTTCTTCCTATCCTGCACACATACAGATATCCTGAGTCGAGGCTTGTATTGTTATAGAAGGAGATTCTTACAGGAATTAGTTTAAATGAAATATTAGAGTAAATTTAAACTATATACTTATGAAAAATGTGATTGTGTTCTACCTATACAATATATTATTTCTCAAGTAGATGAGTTTCCATGGAAGGAAGGATGCCGATGGGCAGGAGATCCCCATACAAAAAGGATAAGGGATTATTAATTGCTTTGTCTGAAGAACTTCAGAAAAGCAGAAATATTATTTAAGCATGAACAAGGAAATACTACTAGAGATAGAACATGATTGGTCTGAATTTTCAGGTCGTTCATGGTGGTCAAAATTTAAAAATACTGTATCAATGTGGGGAAAAAGCTTCAGTAACAGCAGCTGTTGGAGAATATATTTATGTACACCATTAATTTATTATATTTGTATTATTATGATTTTATGTATTTTATTTCAAATCTTGTTTATGGATTAGAATGAAACAATTTTACAAATTGATTAAGAAACAATATGAAAGAAGGTGAAAAAAATCCTGTCAGGTATTATTAGAAGGAAGGTTACCTCTGACCTAACCTGTCCTGGTTATAGAAAATGGTGCATCTGGAACAACTGATTCAGAGCGTGTATAGTTGGGCCATGAAATGAAGTATGAATGTATATATAGAGTTATTATATGATAAATTATTTTATTTAGGGGGAATATTGTAGTAGAAAATTTGTAGCTTAAAACAGACGTCTCATATCTTTACAAAATGACAGCAAAAGTCATTGAGAAGTAAATTTTAACTTACGCGTGTGTATGAAGCTTTGGAAAGGCAGGTGTTAAAGATGTGGAACCATGGTATATTCATGTCTAAGAGGTCAGCAGGTCATAAGCTTCTCTTAGAATAGAATGGAATGTAAAAAGATATTGATATGTAGTAGAACAAAGAAAATGGATATGTCTTTTATAAAGAAAATTCATGTCTAATCTATAATATAGTTAGTTGGATAATTATTTATAATCAATTTATTAGTTAGGAATAGTGTGTGATAAGTTTAGTATCAATTATAGTTGGTTATATGCATTTATGTGAACATTGTCCTTGCTAAAGATAATGTGAAGCCATTGTGTATATTATATTACAGTATCATGTATTTCTGTCGTCTAAGAGGTTTGCAAATAACGTCATACTAAGTATAGGTTTAGAAGGCTTTACATATATGGACACTAAGAGTATATGTTTAGAAGAAGCACAAATAAGGGTTTTACTTATTTAGCCAACACTGAATTAGGAAATAACTGTTTAGTGGGTTGGTCTGGTAAAATATTACCGTATTTTTTTTTTCGACACCATAAGACGCACTTTTCCCCCCCAAAAAGGGGGGAAAATGTCAGTGCGTCTTATGGAGCGAATATAAAGCGGCCGGTCCCGGTATTTTTTGCGGCCACCATGTCAGAATACCGGGTCCGGACCGCTCAGCTGTTGTCTCCTGCAGGGCCTTACCTGTTCCTCGCTCCAGCCGCTGCACTGTCTTCCCGCGCTGGCTTCTGTGACAGCCGGGATGCCCACTTGCGCATGTGCTGCGCTTTGTGAATGATCGGTGTCTTCTGGGACACATGAAGGGTCCCAGAAGGCGCCGGGGCCATTCACAAAAGCGAAGCGCTTCTCGACCTGCGCAGTGGGCACCCGGCTGTCACAGAAGCCGGCCCGGGAAAAGAGGAAAGGCAACTCCGCGGAAGTGGGGAGCGGGTACCTGTCAAATTCAGGTAACCGCTCCCCCTCCCTTCCAAAGGTCAGCAGTCTTGCTGGTCATTCTCCTGCACTGTCCGCAGTCTCTGGTCATTCCCTGCACTGTCTGCAGTCTCTGGTCATCCTGTACTGTGTCCGCAGTCTCTGGTCATTTCCTGCACTGTGTCCGCAGTCTCTGGTCATCCCCTGCACTGTCTGCAGTCTCTGGTCATCCCCTGCACTGTCCGCAGTCTCTGGTCATTCCCTGACGTACTGTGTCGCAGTCTCTGGTCATCTCCTGCACTGTGTCCGCAGTCTCTGGTCATCCCCTGCACTGTGGTCCGCAGTCTCTGGTCATCCCCTGCACTGTGTCGGCAGTCTCTGGTCATTCCCTGTTACTGTGTCCGCAGTTTCTGGTCATCTGCACTATGTCCGCATGTCTCTGGTCATCCCTGGTACTATGTACGCAGTCTCTGGTCATCTCCTGCACTGTTGTCCGCATGTCTCTGGTCATCTCTTGCACTGTGTCCGCAGTCTCTGGTCATCTCCTGCACTGTTTTGCAGGTCTCTGGTCATCTCCTGTACAGTGTCCGCAGGGAGCTCTGGTCATTGGGGCTCCTGTACTGTGTCCGCAGGGCTCTGGTCATCTCCTGTACTGTGGTCCGCAGTCTCTGGTCATCTCCTGTACTGTTTTCTGCAAAACGTCTCTGGTCATCTCCTGTACTGTGTCTGCAGTCTCTGGTCATCTCCTGGACACTGTTGGTCCGCAGTCTCTGGTCATCTCCTGCACTGTGTCTGCAGTCTCTGGTCATCTCCTGGACTGTGTCCGCAGTCTCTGGTCATCTCCCTGTTACTGTTTCTGCAGTCTCTGGTCATGTATCCTGTACTGTGTCCGCAGTCTCTGGTCATCTCCTGTACTGTGTCCACTGCAGTCTCTGGTCATCATCCCCTGTACTGTGTCCGCAGTCTCTGGGTCATCTCCTGTACTGTGTCCGCAGTCTCTGGTCATTCCTGTACTGTGTCCGCAGTCTATGGTTCATCTCTGTACTGTGTCCGCAGTCTCTGGTCATCTCAATGTACTGTGTCCGCAGTCTCTGGTCATCTCCTGTACTGTTTCTGCAGGTCTCTGGTCATCTCCTGTACTGTGTCCGCAGTCTCTGGTCATCTCATGTACTGTGTCCGCAGTCTCTGGTCATCCCACTGTACTGTGTTTTTCTGCAGTCCATTGGTTCAGAATATTTTTTTTTCTTGTTTTTCACCACTAAAACCTAGGTGCGTCTTATGGTCAGGTGCGTCTTATGGAGCGAAAAAATACGGTATATAAGATGTGCCTTAGAGATAGAGAGACACATACACTCACTCACACTCATACATCAAGGACATTATACAGCTGACACGCACTGACATATTTGTCTCCTGGTAAGGCCTGCAAAGCCTTGATACACCTGTTGTCTTCCTTGCCAAGACTGAAACACTTGTCATAGAACAGACAAGAGATTAGACATTTCTCCAAAGCTTATTTCTTTTTCCATAATCTACAACTTTTGTTATATTTTACTCTGTATTTTATTTTATCTTTTGTATTCATTTTTGATGCCAAGTGTGAATTAAATAAAAGTCACACTGTTTTAAATCAGCCTGGCACTAGAACAATTTGCCTCAAACGCCTAAAGACAGACACTTAAATAATATAAGTGTCACGATATTTAAACAACACCCTTTACATTATACTGACTGATGTTATTTAGAGATGAGTGTGGGCATTCTCTGAACTTCTCTCTAGATTAACTCTTTTTCCTCCAGTGAGCTGCAGGCCAGGTCATTCCCAGCTCATCTGTTTTGTTTATGTGAGATATGGGGTGGGAATGACTCGGCTGACAGCTCACCAGAGTAAAAACAGTGTGATCTTTAGATCTGTGTTTCTCAACTTTTTTTCAGTCAAGGCACCCTTTAAAGTTATGGACAGTCCCAAGGCACCTTTAAAATTATGGACAGTCTTGAGACACCCCATTCTAAAATGTGAAAAACTATTCTAATAGTTTTATATACCACAGCAACATCCACAAATGTAGGACACCCAACATTAGAGGTGAGTTATTCTTCCAAAACAAATACACTTTTGCACACTGGTACTGACTAGTATTCCAGTGTTTCTCTTCTTCATCAGTTTTTCTCCATCACTGAGCTAAGTTGACCCCAGCACTGAAGGCGAGGGCAGGGGAGAGTCAAGCTAGGTGCTGTGCAGGCAGCTGACATCCTCATCAATTGATGGTGTCATTGGTTGTCAGGACACCAGCAGCTAGAAGGTCGTAATGGTGCACAATGAAAACCTGTGGCTTTATGTAACTAAAAGGCAGGCTTGATCCTACTTGCTGGCTTGTGTACAAGTTTTGGGCAATTTTTAGACATTTTGCCAAGGTACCCCTGAAGAAACCTCAAGGCACCACAGGGTGCCTGGGCACCCTGGTTGAGACAGGCTGCTCCAGATGTTGTGTTAAGGCAGCTCATTCATTCAGAGTGGACTACCAATTCTTCGTAATGGTTAAGAAAATGTCTCTGTAGCATCCCCAGCGCACACAATCCCTGGATTTCATGAAGACTGGCACAGGCAGATTTTGCTAAAGTGTCTTGCATGCTTTCTAAAAGTGATGAAGCGTGAGCCAATTGAAATACCTGTCTAGAACTCTGTGTATGCTAAAAGGAAAGTTGGTCTAATTCGCTCCACTCTTATAGATACGAACTGTCAGTATTTTTTTTTATTTGGAGCAGGTGTTGCACCATAATGTAGAAGTATAGCAAATTAAAAATTACCTGAATTTGGTGCATAAGTCGCTGACAAAACCAGAAAAAGTATTGCAGCAACTTTATTAAATTCCCCCAATATGGACAGCACTGAATGACCAGTATATGCAGTTCTGGTGTGTGTTTATGTAAATTAGAGATGAGCGAAGTATTCAAAAAATTCGATATTCGGCTGATTCGGCGAATTCGCGGAATAAATTCGATTCG